TACTTTGGTTTTTACTCCAAACGCGAGCCTATTATCATTATCATTACCATCATCATCATCATCATCATCATCATCATCATTATTATTATTATTATTATTATTATTATTATTATTATTATTTACAACAGAGTCCTTATATTTCTTTCTTTTCAAACATTATATTTCTCTGCAAAGAAATAAAATAACCAGATGAAAGTCTCAACAGGGTATTCCAGCCCAGACCAAGACAAGATAAAGAAAAGTTTATTCAAGAAAAAAGCGAAGAAGAGGAAGAACATAACAACAAATGGAGAAGTTAAGAAATTTTCCAGGTCATCCGAAATATGACCACGGTAAACCAAAAATGGCGAATGTTAAGAACGAGAACGACAAAATAAATTCAACTAAAGAAGAAATCACGAAAAAATGGGAAGAATACACTAAAAAGTTATATGAGAAGGACTTACAATTAGAGTAGTGGATAAATATAGATGATTATGAAGAAGAACCAGAGATAGAAGAAATGCATTGGGCGACACAACTGAAAAATGGGACGTCCTCGGCTGTAGATAATATTCCTGGAACACTATTGCTTGTTTTGAATACTTACAATTATTTTTGCCAATTTTTTAAACTTCATTTCTAAAGGTTTCATTTTCTTTTGAATGAAGACTTACAATGCAGCGGGCATTTAAATTTGACGCCAATTTACACAAAAAATACTCATATATTCAAAAAATTGAACATGACTTTATTTGAAGATTATTTTTGATAAACACATTTCATTAGGGGGGAATTGTATTTTCGAAATTGTACTTATGAGACGACGCCGAAATCGAAGTGCAAATAGTTCGCGCAGGCTCTTGTATTTGTCGCGAAATTACACATATAATATTTAAAAAATTTCAACATGAGCTTACTTGAAGATCTGCTTTTTATGAACACATTTAATTAAAAAAATGATTTTTAACAATTGCATTTGTAGGAAGAGGTCGATTTTTTAAAAACTTTTTAAAAATGTTCTCTAAATTATGCAATTCTATGAACATGAGACCTGCACCAATCTCTTAAGCGTCATTTATGCTATTTAAGTTCCCAATTTAATCAAAAAACCGTTTCTAAGAAATAATTGTTTAAAGAAAATAAAAATTGCGTTTGACACAAAATTTTACAAAAAATATTCATGTTTTTGAAAAATAGAACTTGACCTTGTATAAAGATCTGATATTGATGAACACTTTTCACTAAGGGAAAAAAATTGTATCTTCATAATTGTAGTTGGACTTTTTTTTCCAGTGTGTTCAACCCACACAAGACCTACACGACTCTCTTAAACGGCCTTCAGACTATCCACCAACAAAATTTCATCAAAAAAGATGAAACCAATTTTGAGAAAAAAATGTTTAAACAACAATTAAATATTGCCTATATTTTGCACGATAACCGCCAAAAATACTCAATTATTTGAAAAATTGTTTATTAAGGGAAAAATACCCTACCTTTAATATTTTAGTTGAAGGAAGATGCAGAAAAGTTTTGATTTTTTTCTTCAATTTTTGAAAAATCAGAGTTTTTAACTAAGACTTGCAGCATTTTCTTGAATACCCTTCAGACTATCCAAAAACAAAATTTAATAAAAATCGAAAGCGCAATTTTTTGAAAATGTCCTAGAGGCTTCATCTAAAGTACCCCCAAAATAAAAAAGAATTCAAATTCAAGGGGCCGCGACATCAGCCAAATCGATAGGGGAATATCAATTTTGGAGAATATCCGCTGGACGCTTTTTCCGCAAGCGTTGTTCACAGACGGACAGAGACGTTTTGCCAATCGACTTTTCATTATCACAAAACTGATTCTGGCTGCACCACGTATTAAGAGATTTTATTTTCTAAATTTAGCAACTGAATTCATCCACCTTTTTGTTACCAGTGCCCAGTAATATTTTTTTCTGGCGAAAATTGGGCGTTTTTTCGTGCAGCATCACATACCTTTCTCTTCTTATGAAGTTTCTTCTAAGCGCGAGAAAGTACAAATTCGTTGTGTCATTTAAGCCACACGTCTCTTTAGTCCCCTTTCAGCCATAGGGTGTATATACATTGGAGTAATTCTTCTCAGTAACAGGGGTTCCAAGACGGTATACTTGGTGTGTGTAACTGCTTACTTCCACGACTTCACAGAGCGTAGTTAAGCAATTTGGCTAACGACGATGGCTTTCTCGCATACCGCTTATGTAGAATGCTAGATAAATTATTGTATACGCTGTGGCAAAAAGCTGACTTTTGACAGAAAAACGTGTATTCCTGACAACGAAAAAATTGATAATTCTTGTTCCTGTGGGTAGTAAATAACATCTAACATAACACGTCTGTCTGTGGTCAACACTAGTGCCTAAACCGACATGATTTCTCCAAAATTGACATTGATCGATTTGGCCGAAATTTATGTCCTCCAAATTTGGGATGGATATTTTGATTTTGGGAGATTCTGTACATCAGAAGCCCAATGATATTATCAAAATTATGTTAAAAAGGGTCCCAAATTTATTCTTGAAGTTGTTTCCTTAGATAGAGAAAGGTGTGCTCATAAAAATGACAGAGGTCGTGTTTTTAGTAAACTTTCTGATTTTTCAAAAATCTCAAAAACTACATATTGCAAAACTACAATATCATAGATAGACATTTTTTTGTTAATGAAATCTAATCTAATAAAATCATATTAGATTTAGATTTATTTAGTCAAAAGACAGTAAAAACCGTATGTGACGTATGGGGGAGAAGAAAAATATAATTTTTAAGTACAAAGTCATGTACAATTTTTGAAAATACAACTGTTCTTGTGTATTATTTGGTGGAAGTAAATGCAATTTTCACACAATTTGTTTCTCAAAAACGGCTTCACTTTTTTACAATTTTGTTCCCTTGATCAAAGGTTGCTTGAAAATGAAAGATTTCATTTCCGTTAAAATCTGAGTTTTTGAAAATTGCAAAAGTTAAAAATAATGCGGGAAAGTTAATGTTGTTGTAGCACTACTAGTTTCAAAATGCAAACCGTCTCGAATGTAATGGGGGTGTTCCCCTCCAACAATACTTCAGGCAAAAAAGTTGGCACTCATGTCTCTCGTTGACAATGCTAAATAAAAGAGGCAACTAAAAACATTAGGTTCAAAATTTTGATGGATTGCTTTCTAAGAAACAAATCACATATGTCTACATTTCCTTGAGCCATCTTTTCACTAAGAGAGAAGCGGAGGTTTGGTCATTTCAATGACAATAATATCCAATCAGATGTCTAGCTCATTTTCAATGCAAAAATAAAGTTTCTATTACACAGAAGCCATTTCGGGTTATCAGATTTTTTCCACAATGCTCATTGCTATCATTCACTCGTAAATCAACTAATGTTGATAGAGGAAGTGGGGATAAGAATTCTGAGGTTCAAGGAAATGTGCACTCATAATATTTACGATAAGTATTTGTACAATTTGTTTTATATATAATTATTTACTTTCTGAAAACTTCATTTACAAATATTTAAAAAGGCTGGATGAAAGTAAACAGTTAAAGAAAAGGGAATATTTTTTTCTTTAACTGCTTACTTTCATCCAGTCCTCCCTCAATTACGCTTGTTTCTCTCTATTTATTTACATTCCGGAGACAGCTGAGGTTATTTTCTCTCATCAGTGATAATTTAATGAGATAATAATGATGAACGGAATGATGTAGAAATGGTGGAATGAGGGGCAAGAGAAACGTGAGCTCTCAAAGTCGTCCTCACAAATTCCACATGGATCAGACATGTATCAAATTCGCATCCTAGAAGTGCAAAACTAATTATTACGGCACAAGCTCTCCTCCTCTCTATCTCGCTTCCTCTTTCACTCCCTTTCTTCATAACATCATAACATTAAGTTCAATATATGAGGGTTGGGTTTTATGTCATGGCAACCATCTCCCTTTTTTGGGTGAGTAAATACGAGCAATGGTGGAAAATGTGAAATATACACATGAAAGGACAAGGTATGAACTAAGAGCATGTACATTTAACAACACATCAAAATTGTGTTTATCATATTTTTTAAGATGTTTGAAATGATAAAATGGTTAAATGTACCAAAACATGTTAGTAGGGAGAGGATTTTTATGCGCTAAAAAATACTGAAATATGCACTTTCATACACAATTAAAATTAATAATTACATTCATTACATCATCAACTCATTACATTTTCTGTATAGAACTCTCTTGATAAAAATTCAGGAGAAGTATGCATGGAATGAAAACATATATAAGAAAAAATTTAAGTAAGTATTCACCTTGTATTCAAGTTCATTGTAAACCTTGTTGCATTTCTTTGGCTGGTTTAAAAAATTTAATATAAAGAAATATCCTACATTTGCATTAATTTTTTATCATCTATAGAAAACAAATGCAAACTGTGACAAGCTCTTTCTACTCTATCAATGCCCACAAATAAATGAAGCAAGAGACAAAAATATGTAAAATAATACAAATCCACTTCATACATAATAGTATATAGGAGTTTACAACATCCAGAAGCCTTACTACATACCAGTTCTAAAGGCCCGATTAGGCATCTGTTCGTTTACCTCACGTGTCACATGTCCACACACTGACTTTATCAGTGGTTGCTACAAGTCCTAGCAGGAACTCTCCTGCCCCTTTCAGTCTCCCTAGTGTGAAAGGGTAATGTTCCCATGAGCTTCCGCCAATTCCCTATGATATTCTAGGGCATTTCTCCCATTGAGAACTGCTATCTTTAACAAGTTTTGCTTGAAATGGGTTACAATCATCCGGCAGAGCGGCAGTAAGACAACAGGTTTCACATTACTTTCTGTCATTATAGAGACACACTCAAAGCTGTCTGTTTTTGTGATCACACATTAGTAGAGCATTTCTTTCATTCAAAAAATAAAATTGGGTGATCCAATAACATTTCTTTTGGAAAAAAAATAGTTGCCATGACTTCTGTCCCAACCCTCATAGAATAATAAATATACTTACTGAGTCTCAGTCTTCAAAGTATGTTCAATGCCTCGCATTAAATCATTCGTCTTTAATATAAGAAGAATCTGCCGATTAACTCTCGCTAAAACATCAGATATTTGAGGCAAGAGTCCAGGTATTTCTTTTTGAAATAAGGCTTTCTGAAATAACAATTGAATCATCAAAATTTTGCTATTATTATTTCAATTATAGAAATATAATATTCCTGACATTAAGTAATACATATAACAAAATGATCCTTTAGACCACAATTGCAAAGCCACTTACTTCTTTTACACTAAACTTGGTTTTATCAATGCCAGTCATTAAAGCATCCCAAGTACGACCAGTAACCATGCAGGCAAAAAGACCATACAAGTCACCTACTCCCAGTTTCTCACAATGTTGCCGCATACCCTTTTTGTCCATGTTGAAGATACTCAACCAGAGTTTTGAATATTCACATCGCACATCGTTACTTAATGTCTAAAAGGAAGTCCAAAATTAATTCATACAACAACTTCCCACAGTAATGCTCAAATATAATCAACATTAAAATGAAAGATCCACAATAATTAAGCCATATCCCTGAAGCATTGAAAACACAAATACCAAGAATTGTGTAGAATGCAAGGTCATGTATTTTGAATCACTCCAAGTGGAGATATTGAAAAATTAAAACTTGAATATGAAATACACTAGCTGGTTTCTAATGTATATCTATTTAAAATTGTATTTATTACGCACATCATACAAATTGTGAAATCACAATAAAGAAAATTGAAACTTACAGCATACAATCCATGATCCAACAACACAATTTCTACTTCATTATTAGAATTCTTTCTAACAAATATATTGCCTGGATGGGGATCGCTATGAACAAAACCTTCAACAAAAATCATTTGGGAATACAGTCTTCCTAGCTTGCTTGATACTTCATAAGGATTGATTTTATTTGACTGAATATATTCTAAGTCATTGACTTGACCACCTTCCACAAATTCCATTGTCAACACCCGTTGTGTGGTAAGGTCCCAGTGTATCGCCGGAACCTGTAAAGGTAAGAAACGCACCATTATTCTAGTGACGTTCACTCAAAATATGTTATGCCACAAACAATTAACTAGCAATTCAAAGACAGTAATAATGACTCACTTTAAGCCACGAGGTATCCTTAAAAAGACGTTTAACTTTTTCAGCATTATGGCCCTCTTGAGTGAAGTCCAATTCGATAGGAATGTTACGTTTTGTTTCCTCTGTTAGCCACTGAAACTTAAATTCTGGAAAGGCCCATGAAACTAGACTGACCAAGATTTCCATAGTCTTCATGTCTACTCTTGAATTGCCCCTAACAGATGGATGTTGAACTTTGACAGCTACAATTGTTCCATCAATTAAACGAGCCTTATGTACCTGTGCTAAAGATGCTGTGCCAATAGGTTCTGGTTCTATGGATGCAAATATTTTCAATGGCTGCAATAAACCATATCAGAAAAGAACATACAATAGTTAGAATTTTATTTTATTTCTTACAAGTTAAGAGATTATTTTTAATTTCAGTTAATGAAGTTAAATTTTGGATTTCAAAACAGTTGTTTTTTTTTAATTATAGTTAAAATTAAACCTGCAATTTACTGATTTTCTGACAATATTATCTTAGCATCTGACATTGTTTATATAACCCAAAAACACTGCACACTAGTTTCTACCATCTTCTCCAGTTCTATACATCCAAATAGTGACAATAAGCAGCATATGAAACGCAGCTACATAAGTGTTACTAACTTACAAGCAACCAACTAATACACTATTGCGTGCCCTTTGGTCTTTAATATATCCAGAACATTTCTGCCACTAGCCTCAAGTTACAAATTTGGAACAAAATTAAATTTATCTTATGATCAAAAGTTGTCCATTATTATAGTATTACATCTTAAAAAGAATACCCAAAAGCTACTTGTATTCACTATTCATCATTTAGTATATCCATTATCCTTCACCTTCCATGAAAAGAAAGTTACTATGAAAACACTTACATCTTCCTTGAGATCTTCACGTAGAACTTTATAAATTTCTTCTAATTTTGAAGACGGTGCATGACTGTGTAACACTTTCATTGTATCAACATATTCCTTGGGAACTAAGTAATCCAATGCTCCAATGTGTTGTCCAACTTTAATGTAGACACCTTTGTTGGTGCAGCATAAATTTAAAAGTTTTTCAGCTGCTGCTTTGTGTACCTACAGATTTATTACAGTAAAATTATATTAAAGAAATAAAAATTCACTGCAATATGCCATAATCCTTTTTGAGCAAACATACCTGAGATCGGAGAGTAATATACTCTGGGGACCCTGGATCAATATTTTTTGCATATAACGCCTTTTTATAATCCAAAGCTATCCTGAACACAGTTGATGCTGCTCTACCCAATCGCACAATTCCAATAGCATCCACATCATATTGGTTTTTACTTAAAGATATTGCAGTGCCAGTAATAGCTCCAGCCACTACACTATACTTCACAACCCGACGTAAAGAAAACATTTTTTAACACTTCAAGAAAAAGCACTGAAAAACTTTATTTGTTATGAACAACGTAATGAAGTTTCTGTATGCAGCCACATCTTAAAATACTTAAAAACATTTGTAACAGTTTTCAGTAATTCAATCGAAGATGTTTCATTGCACACACATCTTTTCAAAAGACAGTGGCAAAAGAAAGTGGAAAGTGGCCCGCTTTTACTTATACCGTACTTCCGAACCGTATGGAATGTTGAATGTAGGTTAGGTGCCTGAAGTATTGTGAGGAACGTCTTCAACTAGTTGCATAACCCCAAATATCAAATGTCATCACGTCTTTTCAGGGCTATGAAATAAAATGACACTTCCATAAACTGATGTGGAAATTCTCGTCGCCTTATTCTCACGGATTATCTCAGAATCTGCTCGCACCACACGAAAATTCCACGACTCCACAATCGCAACTGCCACAGCAAATATAGAGCCAATATAGAACTTACGCAAATCCCTGTACATTCTCGTGTAACCTACACGAAACTTAACAACTTCAATGAGTGTAACTCACACTCGTCCTCAAAACATGCGCGATAGTTTTATCATATTCTGCACGATGATCATTACTTCCGCAACAACTTCGTGAAACAATACTCCGTAAAGTAACATTATTTTTGTTAAAAACAACGACGAGTGGAAGAGAACGAAGGCTGGACATGAGCTCTGACAACAGTCGTGCTTGAATTCTGTTTTCAACGTCGTCGAGTAATATTGACCGTCATTGAGGAAGCGTCGCCGCGTTGTTATAACCGGAGTCCTAGGCACGATGGTTCCTCCTAGGACGTGCATTTCTGTAATGTTCATTTTACTTGCATTTTCCTTCGTACATGAAGTTCACGGTCAAGAAGAAAAAAGTTCGAAGAAAAAGCTTCAAATTGGCGTAAAGAAGAGAGTAGACAACTGTCAGGTGAAGTCGAAGAAAGGGGATTTCTTACACATGCATTATAAGGTGAATATGAATTTATCATTGATTATCTATCCTGAGCTTTGATTTCATGGACTATCAATAAGAAGCAAAAATCTATTTATATTTTGAAGGGTACTCTGGAAGATGGCACTGAATTTGATAGCAGCTATGGGCGAGGACAACCCCTTACATTTACACTGGGGTCTGCACAAGTCATCAAAGGCTGGGATCAAGGATTAATGGGGTAAGAAATTTGGTAAATCGTGCCCAACTTGAGACTCGTTTGGAATTGTGAATTAAATTCAATTTGTATTCTTTCAGAATGTGTGAAGGAGAAAAACGGAAATTGGTTATACCACCTGAGTTAGGGTATGGATCAACAGGAGCCCCTCCTAAGATTCCAGGAGATGCAACACTAATATTTGAAGTTGAATTAGTGAAGATCGAGAGAAGAGATGATCTCTGAGATAATGATTGTTATATTTTTGAACATACAAGGATCTTAGGACATCATTTTATACAGCATTTAATAGTGAATATTTAAGGCTGAATAAATTTCAGCACTGTATCACATTCTAAATAGCCAACAAATGCATATGGAGATTGCATACTAGCAATTTGAAACAAAAACATATTTAAAAAATAATATATTTGCCACATGAGCAATATTTACAGCAGCGTAAGTTAAAAACGTTCAACAATGCTCGGAAGAACATTTGTAGCTTAAAAATATTTTACTAAAAGTGTCTTGGTTTGAGCGTCCTTTTCAAGCTAATGAACCAAGAGTTTATTCATAACTCTGTAATTGTAAATGAGTATTCATTTTGAAGAGATTTTTAAGGAAAAGACTTGGAAATACTAACTGTATGGTATTATGAACTTATTTACCAGTATTGACATTAGCCATTAGATTTTATCAAGGCACATGTCAAGTTAGAAATGGTAAGTTCGCATATAAAACTGTAAGCATTTATAATTGTCAAAATAAATATCTAAAATGAATTCTATGAAGAAAATGTAATTCGGCAAGTAAAGGGATGCCCCCTTCTGGACATTTTTCTCTCTCACATTTGTTCTTAACAATTTTGTAAATAGTAATTGGAATATCCCACCATATATTAGATGTAATTAACCCTTTGATCATCTCCATAGCAATTTGCTATTGGAAGATTGTCAGACATCATTGCTTAAGAGTTTTTGAGCCAATCAGAGTATTGAATTTTTAATTAGTGAAATCTGAAATTAATTTATAATGTATTAATTCTTAAGAAAATGCATCATAATTACGAAGTTAAAACTTGCCAGTAGAAGGTAGTATAAAAATTATTGTACCAAACTTTATTCGGGCTCTACTTTCACAGAGGCAACTCTTTGTTACTACAAGTAAAAATAATAGTAATAATAATAATAATTATTAAAATGTATTGAAATATATTAGTAACCCATGTATGTGTGAATGACTAAGAATTCATATATATTAATATTAAATGAAAAACTGTTTTCTTTAGCAAAAGAATGAATATTAGTTTTCAGCAAATACAATACATGCAATTCACTTATATTTGGCAATAAAATTGATGAATCATTAAACTTTAACTGTCCTTGTAATGCTTGTAAAATATAACATTTAATTGGAGACTACCAATTTAAAATTAACTATTCAATGACAGATGGATATAGATGAGTCTGTTCAAACCCGGTGGATTTCCTCAGCCCAGCAGGCTGCAGCAAGATATCTTCATTACAATAATCATGAAATGCTGTAATGAAGAACCATGAACAATGGGAGAGAATGCCACAATGCCAGGTAGGTTTTAATTTTTCCATTGATATGGAGAAAACTGTTCCCTTTTAATTACTGAAAACTATTAAAAACTGTAGAAAATTAAATCGTAGATATTAATTACGATTCACAAAAGAAAAAAGTTGTGGAGAAAGAGTAAATTCATGAAGCTGAATAAGAAAACCACAGCATTGATAAAGAGCCGGTGGTGGAATTTACTTCGCAATAACAGATTTTATTAAAAATGATATTCTTTAGTAAATGTATTTGTTGTTCAATTTTGAATAGTTCTGATGATTTTAAATGGAGTTCCCCATTAATATTTACTCGGCACACATTTAATATTCTTCAATCTTTGAAATGGTCATGTTCAAATTTTAGTATGCAGCAATGAAAAGAATTCGTAATAAAAGAAAATTTATCCACTTTTGATTTACTAACATAATAGACCATGTAAAAATGAAGTAATTGCTACTCTACTGTTCATGTGTGAACTAAGACATGTTCATATGGCATCTCAATTCCTGCTGCTTGTGTTCCAGATATATCCAATGCTTGCAGTAGGTCTTTACAATTCACATCCCAATATATGTAATATTCACAATGCAAACTAAGAATTAATTCATCCTAATGACAAATGTGAATTGCATCAGTTCAATTTACACAACTATTTGCATTTACAGCAAGAACACGCTAAAGGGTTTTTAAATAATACACCAAGATTATGAAGCTTTTACTCAAAAAATAATTTATTTATCTTAACATAAGAACTTTGAAATAATTTTCTTAAATTCAATTTTGTTTGAGGCAAATCTTTCCACAAGTTACAAAATGAATGGTTACTCTGTGTATGTATAAACAATTGTATCTCTCTTGTCATCCTCATCACTTTGCCCCTCATTTTCTTCTGCGTCAGAACTGTGGCAAGAATCATATTCCTGTTGTGTGTCACGATACTCGGTTCTTGCTGAGAGGTCAGGCAAAATGGAACCAAGTTTCACAAAGGAATTTATAGCTAACTTCTCAGATGCATGCTTTGCCTGTATGGTCTATAAAAATAAGGAAATTATATTCATCAAAACTGGTTGATACAATAAGTATGTATGATTTATACAATGAATGGTTGACATACTAATCATGCTTGGATTACAAGGAAAGATATAACAAAAAAATAAATAAATCCATTCAAATGCTACAAGATATGTTCTCAATTTTAATGCAACAGAATTCATTAAGACAAATGAAATACCACAAATTCGTAAGTTTAATAAGCAAGAACAAATTTATTGTTATCTTTTTCATCTTCACTCCTAAATTGCCTACATACCTTTAGCTTGGCAGCCTGTAATTGCTGAATCCGTAAGCTTTCTTCAAGCGTTATAAGTTTGACTGCTCCATGAACAGGAGGGGGTGGAGTAGCTGCTGTCACCTCCCAATGTGGGCCTTGATGCTTGGGAACAAATAATCCAGGATGCACACCAGATTTTGTAGTGGAGTGAGGTTTAAATGGCTCACTTTTCTTGCATGGTGGCTTATCAACTTTTTCACATAAATGCTTTGCATAAAGATCATTACAAGGCTTTACTTCTGTAGTATCTTCTTTCGATGACTTAATGCTGGTTTCCAAACTTTAAAAAAAACATCAAACACAAAAAATTGCCAAAAATGTATCTTAGACCTCCTAACTAATAGTAAAAGCTTCACAGAAAACAATTCTACAATTTCTAGGTTTCAGCAATAACAATTGATGTCGACAGCAGCAATCTCTACTTAATTATCTACAGCACAATTTTATTTTTTTCAGCTTTGTCAAGTGTCATTAAATTACTTTTGTGTCTTCCAAAATTATATTTTTATGAAGTATGTAATGTAATATTTCCTTTTTGTTATTGTCCTAAATTTGCATGTAAATAGTCGTGAATAATATTTGGAAATTATGTATAGTAAATATTAGCAATTCTAGAAAAAATTTTTGGAATTGTAAAATTGTGTATGTAGCATACAGGCTGCAGTGAAAACAGCACTATAGAGACAAAGAGTTGAGAGATTGACTCCTGTGTCATGCAAATCTGTTGTGCTTAATGATTGTCATGAAAGGGAAAGTCCGATATATCCAAACTACCTTTATTCAATTCATATTTGTCCACAAAAGTTGAATATATTTTTTGGAACTTTATTACATACGTACATGATATGGCTCAATTAATATTTTGAAATGAATCTATTGTGACCAGTAGATAGTGGTAAAGTGTGCAAACTACAAGGTCTCCCTCAAAAAACTTCCAAGAGATCAGATGCCACTAGGAAAACCTAAATGAAATTTAATGTAACTGGTATATTTGCATTGTGCAGAAGTTAAAAAATTTGTATAATTACAATTCCTATTTAAAAAAAGGACAGAACTAAACTGTGTTTGTTTAGCGGTGCCAAAGCATTCGTAATTACAAGAAACCAACGTTATTCCAATAAATTAAAATAGGTTCGGTAAAAAAAAGTAGAAAATACCAATATTTATCTAGGATATACTTCAGAACTTAAGTTTTGAACCTCTAGAAACAAATTAACAATACCAAAAAAATTAAAATGTAATGCAAGGTCACTAACAATAATATAATACAAGAATATTATAAAAAAAACTACATACTTCTCTTCATTGGAATCCTCTTCTGGAACACTTATTAAAGAAGTATCTCTATTTGTTTCCAATTTGACTTGTTCCTTCAATCGCCTACAAACAATACCAGCACACATCAAAAAACGGAGGGATTGGAGCAAGGAAATCAATAACTATAACACATAACAGTTATTTTCATTTATTTAAAATTTTAATATAACTTTTTATGAATTCAGAGTAGAAATTCCATTTTTATCTAAAAGAGGTAATAACACATGCTCCATATTATGCACTACTTCAAAACTACTTTCACCCTGAATTTTGCACATGTGATCAGCAGACATATTCCCATTGCACTTCTGGGAACTATTAAAGTTATCAGAACTTCCAGCTAAATCATTTCCAGAAAAGGAGTCATTATTTTTCAAAGGATTTTCATCTTCTGTTTTGGAATGCAATTGGTTAAATTTTTTAATTTCCTTTTCCACCCCACAGCTAATGCATGTTTTATGTAATTTATCAACTCTAAAAGAATCTTCAGTGAAAGTTGAAAAATTTGAATCATACATTTTCAAAACATCAAGAGCACCTTTAAGAAATCCGAATCGACGACCAAGACTGTGACCTTGTTTATAACCCAAATCAAATGCATCTTGGTATGTTTTTTCATGTCCTGCACTTACTCCTTCGCGGAAACCATCTTTTCCGATAGTATCCAACACTTTTTTCCAAGACACAGCACAAATATGTAAATCTTCATCAGAAGAACTTAAGGACTCCATTGTAATTCATCTACTACTTCTGCCTCAATTTCACAATACAATATGTTTTAAGAAAGGGAGAATATAACTGTGAGTACAAAGATAATACCTGTGTATCTTTTTCTTTAATCTTCCTGTACCAGAATGAGATGCAAGAATTTTCAAGGGATTAATATCTTCATCACTGCTAATATCACTGCTTTCATTTAGAACACCAGTTAATTCCCCTGTCCACTCAATTTCATCTACCACATTACTTTTTGAGAGGGAAAGACCAGACAAAAGTCCACAAGTTTGGTCAATTTGATCTTTCTCTGCTAAAGCCTTAAGCACACGCTCTCGAAAAGTCTTAATTCTGTTCCCTTGATCAGGTAATTTTTTTATAAAAGACCTATAAAATATTTCATTATTACACAATTCTGAAATAATTGCAACATTCAAAGTTAATACAAACAGCAGTCTTCAAACTTACTTATTAGATAACAGTTTATCTTGCCTTTCCAATAATTCTAATAATTCCACTTTAGTTTTAGAATTTAAATTTTCAATATAACCTTGTTTTTCCTTAGGACTGGGGTACACATTTCCAGGCACCTTCTTAATAATCTTCTCTTCAAACATCGCCATACATAAACATTATATCCACAAAATAATTAGATGAATAATATTGTCAATCCCAAGTTTGGAAGTTGGGCAATCAGCAAGCACCACGATTCTGTCAACTGAATTGTTCAACTTCACATATGAGATGTATAGGTTTTCATTTCGGAACTCGGTCCCAGCCACATTCACACGAATTAACAGAGATGACAACTAGATTGGAGCTGTCTAGAAGCAATTATAACAATGGACTTTTTACCGCAAGTCAGTCTCTTCTCTCCACTCAAACTATTCCCTTCTTTGCTGTTGTCGACAGCTTCTGGTCAGCTCGTATATTCTCTCTGGTCACTTGCTGGTTCAGTTATTACTCGCGCAACTTTCTTGAACGATGACCTTGATCCCCCTCCCTTGTGCAATAAACGTTGAAGGCCAAAGCTCGCGGGCACTGATGACAATCTTCCAAGCATTAAAACTTCGTCGGCGTGAAACAGAAGCTAGTCAAAGCCAGTTGCTTTCATAGCGCAGAATCCCTGTTCAGATTTATTGTCAATATCGAAAGAAATGGCTGAGTCAGGTCCAGTCCTCAGGAAGTCACCTAAAACTCCCGAAAAAGTTAAGCATAAGATGCAGTTTTAACTTTCATTTCACACACGTTGGCATTACTTTAAATACTCTAGTGCCGACTTTGTAACTAATACCCCCACTCCACCCGCAATCGTCAATCCATCATTCCAGAAAAGTTGCCCGAGTAATATCTGCTCCGAGCAGCGGGCGTGCTACACTGAGTCCAAAGAGTATATACTAAAATAGCAAGCCAGACTCTCTAGAATAAAATTGACGCTCGCAGGCCGTATACAAAATGTGAAACAATTTGCTTTAAAATCATGGAGATATTCCTAGCTCGGCGCTATCTATTGCAAACATGGGGAGCATTCACTTCACAGAGGTCATATCACAGATGATTATCTCATAGATCAACAATATTTATCCATGGTCATATATCTCTTAGATTCTGGGCCCCCGAAGCGAACGGTTCCCACAAATTCCATTCATCGCAATTCCCATCCAACTTCCAAAACGCTAAGGAAAAACAAAACAACAGAAAAACAGGAAGGCAAGGACAAGTAGAGAAAAAGGCAATGAAATGTCGAATATACTATTTTGTCATGATCGGGAATTACACGAGACTACGGCCCATGAACTCCCTTGCATCAACAAGGAGCTCCACAAAGACGCGATTCGATTTTAATCATTGCGACAATCAATTATACTGATAGAAACTTTCCTTTTTATGTCTATATGCGCTATCGTTGGGAATTTACCTTCCCATCAGTGCCATCTCTAGTTACTAGATACGGCACTGTTCCCATACATCAGCAATCAAGTCATCAAATCAGCAGCAAGTGTTTTGTCGACTGTCGCTGAACTCTACAAGTCTGCTCGCGCGACTTGCATATTAGTTAAGAAAAGGTGCCAAAAATAAAAATAAAAACTTTTCTTCAACTAAAGCCAAAGGAAAACACCCCTCTAAATTCCAGAGACGTCAGCAATTAAAGAAGAATCTGAGTATACCGGTTCAGAATCTGAAGATCCAACGCCAGCACAAGAAGAACAATCCAGCCGAAGCATTATAGGAACGTTGACAGCAATAAATATAATCTTAAGCAATAAATCATAGATTTTCTAGTTGAAGCGCAATCAATAACAGTTAATAAAATCAGGATACCTCAAAAACAAGTGGTAATAATATTCTTTGTTTGCAGTGCCCGTCTTTAGCTCAAGATGCTTGTTCGATGACAATTACTTGCGATGTTGAAGAAGGGTTTATCAAGTCCTCATAAAAAATTATTGATCATTGTGTAGGTGAAAGTGAAAGTCCGAACTATCTGGGTTCCGTAACTCATTCAAACGCCGGTATTTCAACGATCTACAGATGAAAAATAAATTATCTGGATGTGACGAGCGCATTTGGGAACGATATATATATATGTGTGTGTGTGTGTGTGTGTGTGTGTGTGTGTGTGTGTGTGTGTGTGTGTGTGTGTATGTGTGTATGTGTATGTGTGTGTGAAGGCTTCTCATGCATGGTCGTCTGATATGCTGAGAAGTTGGAGAGGAGAGAAGCAACAGACGTGCGGTTAAAAGTTCATTGAAAATGAAAACCTTAAAAACACCATAAAATTTCGAAAAGTTATACATTAGTTTCAGTATTTGGCAGCAATTGGTCTTTGAGGTTCACAAAGTAGCCTACTGCTGGCAGAGTGATGCTATACTTAGATTTATTCAGAGCTGGGTGACTTGTTAGCTCCGAATTGGATGAAATCATCAACAGCCGATTTACTTCAAACGCAGCTCTAAATATATCATGCTGTACAACGCAGGAGAAAACAGCAGAATTCGCAACAAGATCGCTGCTCATCTATCAAGATGCACCGCGAAAGAGCAGCGATCTGTGATGCGCTTCACTTTCTCGCACATAGTGACGTAATATGTACGGATCCCCGGGGAAGGAAATGAGGGAAATCCCCCCCTAAAGTTTTTCACTAACTATTAATTTTAACTTTTAACTTTAAAATATTTTCGGATAAGCATTAAAAAGAATAAAATCGTATCGCAGCATGAGCTGAGTGAAGTCTGAGACATTTAAAAAAATCTGTAATATGGCACATTCCACCAATGAATTTTGAATTTCGCCTCAAAAAATTTATCCACCCCTGAACGTAAGAAAAGAAAGTATTGTAATCGTGTGCCAGAAATCGGAGAATTTTCGGCACAAATCTCATATTGCCGGGCCCTGGTAACGAGAAAGTGGATAAATCCAGTTGCTAAAGATAGAAAAAAATCCTCTAACACGTGATGTAGCCATAATCCATATTTATTGCTTCCTTCATACCGAAAAATCGACGGCAAAATGTCTGTCTGTCCGTCCGTCTGTCTATCTGTGCACAACGCTAGCGCGGGTTCTTTACATAAAGCCTCCCGGACATTTTCAAAAAAATGTCTGCAAATTCTTTTGATTAAATTTTGTTGTTGAATAGTGCAAAGGACGTTTAAGAAACGGTGCAGGTTTCATTTTCGTTGAGATCCCCGATTTTTCGAAAATTGGGAAACAAATGACAAAATAGAAGATAAAGATTGTTACCTCAGACAATGTAGTACAAAATTAGCTCTTTAAAAAAGATGAAGTGCGAGTCATTTTTTGTAAAAGTTAGTCGTTTTTGCCACTTTTTTGTAAAAGTTAGAACTAATTTCTGTTTGAGATTAATAAAATATACATGTACTAGCGTAACTGTGCGAGAAAACTTGCATGTTAATCCCCACCCTTTCTCTAATCTTTCCATTAAGAAGGAAATTTGTTCATGAAACTTGTTTATTTGTTAAAAAATGTATAAATGTAACTTCGTACTTACAGAATATCAAACAAGTGAAAACAAATGCAATTGATGTTGGAAACAAATTTTCAATAAAGGTTTATTTAATATATGTAAAGGTATATATATATATATATATATA